AAAAAAATAGGAGCACTACATCTGTCCTCGATGTGACTTGCAATTGCCGACAGGCTGCTTTAATTACTAGGATTTCAGCCTGAAAAACCATAACCTCATTAGGTAGCCTAAGAGAATTATATATGTTTTCAGATAGTACGAAGATTCCTGCTCCTGCTCTACAGTTCATTTTCGAGCTATCTGTATATATTGAGATATCGTAGTTTGCCTTGAAATTTTTTCTTTTCCATTCATTTCTTGAAGGGAATATTGTCTGAAAACTCTTTTCGAAGTATATGCACGGATTCAAATAACCCCATGTCATCCTATACAGACAGTTTGGAACTGTACTTAGAATCCGACTATGTTTATATGTTCGTTCGGACAAGACGCCTGTTACTTTTAGTCTAACAGCGCTGTTGTAAACCATGTTTTTGATGTAGAGATCGATAGCTAGCATATGTGGCATCACGTTTAGGGCGTCCTAGGGAGTCGTCCTAAAAGCTCCTGTGACAGCTACGCATGCCGTCCTCTAAATTCTGTTAAGTTTATCAATATTATAGCTCTTATTCAGAGCCGACCACCAAACGACAGCCCCATACGTGAGAATTGGACGTACAATTGCCGTGTACATCAAGTGTGTGATACCGGGACGAATACATTTTTTTTCAAACATCATTTTGCAAGAATAGAAAGCTACACATGCTTTTTTGATACGAAGATCGATATTGTGTTTCCAGTTTAGTTTACTATCCAATAGAATTTTTAGATATTTGGGTTTTTCCGATAGTTTGTTGTCCATTTAGTGAAGGCAACCTGAAAGCCGGTATTTTGGTTTTGGTGGTAAACAACAACTAGGATTAATACCTCCACAACCTGGTCACATAGTTAAAAGCCCCCTCAATATCTATAAAGGTTGCCAACGAGTATTGTTTAAAGTGAATCGACTTTTCCACAGTACGAATGAGCTCATGTAGAACTGTTTCCGTAGATCTACCCTTAAGGTAAACATGCTGAGGTATAGAGATTGAAAAACATATGAATGACCTTACGTAGAGCTCTTTCCGTAGATCTACCCTTGAGGTAAGCATGTTGGGATGTAGAGATTGGAAAACTTTCTACCTTTTGTCTTTGGTGGAGCTGTATTACCCCCTTCGTTTTTTTTAGTAAAAATGAAGTCAGACTAACGGTCCTGTAATCTTTGGCGGACTCGTGTCTGATTTCGCTTACCTTGGGTATAAAGACGACTTTACCTTGCCTCGAACTAAGTGGTATATAACTGTATTTAAGACACGCTTTGTAAGTTTCCCCTAACCATGGAACCACTAAGTCTTGCAGTTTTAGCAAAATGATGGGAAAAATACCGTCCAAACCTGGCGATTTATAGGTACAGAAATTTTTGATTGAATACCTAATTTTTTCCGCTGTGATTATTGCTTCAACCACCTGCGATGGTGTGCTTGCTAAGGTTAATGAACTATTTTCACTAGCATCATCTTCACAGTTTTGAAAATGAATATCTAATAGTAGTCTTAGTGTCTCAACAGAGGTCATCTTTCTTTCCGTCTTAAGAGGGATTTTCGCTTTCCTTCGATAGAACCTTGCTAAGCCTAGCTGAGGATGAAGTTGATTCAATTGACTTGCAAAATTCCTTCCAGCCATTAGTTTCGGCCTCACTGTTAACTTTCTTACAAATTTTAAGACAATCTTTATACTCACGCTAATTATTGTCCTTATAGCTTGCATTAAACTGTTTTCGTGTTTTCTGCCTGACATTACTTAATTATGAGTTTTACCAGGGCGAAAAAGAGTTTTTGCTTCTACTTATTGGACAAGATCTCTTGTAAGCTATATTAAAAGCTGCCTCAAGATTATATATCCTCTCGCCTAGCTCGCTAGTAGAATCAACCTTAATTTGTTTCACTTTATTAAGTTTCACCTTAGTTACCTTTGTAAAAATGTCCAATTTTGTGTTCTTCGAGTTTCTAAAGGGGATGGTATGATTCGGTTTAATGTTTAGTTTAAAGAGAATCGAACTATGATCCGAAAAGGATTTATTGTCAGATACCTTCCAATTACTAACTACAATATTTGAATTTTCGGATAGAAGTGTTATATCTAGCTCTTCTTTCCATCCATCAAACCCCTGCAAACTGGGGAAAGTAAAAGTAGAAGTTTTACCTCTATTACAAATTGAAAGATTGAAATTGGTTATAAAATCAAAAAGATACTCACCCCTGTCATTGATTTCCGAACTGCCCCAAAACGTATGCCTCGCATTGGCGTCGTATCCAATTACCATGGGAATATCTCTTAATGAACTTCTGTGTATTAGCGCGACTACCTCTCCAGAGGTGCATATCTATTATGCGCCATGTAGGCAGAAGCCACAATTAAATTTTGTTCACCTGGCATTTCGATCCTTGCAGCTGTCAGATCGTTATTACTACACTGTGGGCATAGAAAGGCATTAATACATTTTTTTACTAGGATACATGATCTTGACTTACAATTGTTCCTAGTATACAGATTGTTTTAGTTCTTCAGCATTAGCCCCATGACGTCCTTACCACTGACCCATAGCTCTTGCACGATGTTGATGTCGACATCCTCCTCGACTAGAAAGATGACGAGATTATCCAAGGCGAATTTCGAATGTTGCAGGTTGATTTGTGCTACTTGCAGCATTCGCACAGGCTTACGAAGTTTCTGAAGCTTCTTTCTGAATCTTCTTATCATCAAGTAATTTATTAGCATCCTCTAATTCTTTGCCTTCATCATCATTACGAAAGATCTTGATTTTTGTATACCGTACGCTAAACCTTATCTTACAGTCAATTTCTTCTAGTGGTTTCACGGATTTCTCGTTTATCACCAGAAGAAGCGTCATGTTGCTTTGCACTCGTCCTTGATGACTATCGAGTCATTCATAGTCACGTTTTGGTTCTGTCGTAGTAGCAGTTGAAATACTTTCCCGTGCTCCATTTTCATGAAGCACGGAATAAGCCAACGAAATCTTAAACCTTCCCATGCATCACTTATCTTAGCAATGCAGTTGCCAAGAAATACCTTGGATAGCTGGTCATCGCATTTGAAGACCCTGTAGCCACGAACCACTTCTGATGAGTCAAAGCCTGGTGTGGGGGCGTCAAGATTTGTTAAAAGGTGTTCCATCACCATTTCAGTCAATTCGGGTTCAATCTCACCCCATTTCTTCAGAACCTTTTTCCCATTGCCGGTAATGTCGTCAATGAGCGTCACCTGTAGCTCAGCCCTTGTTAAGTCGCTATACGCATTTTTCACGCTCGTTTACGGCTTATTAATAGAAGTTGTTTTTGCAACTTTGCTTCTTGAAGTATGGGTCGTCTCATCCTGAGACCAATCCCTCATCATCGCCTTTGGAAGTTTCGATAGGATGGCCTAGTATTCCTTGTACTCATCCACCACCTTTTGGTATCGTATTTTGTCTGCACGATCAGTGCTTTAATGGCACCAGTTATTTCCGGTATTGTATGTGAGGTGTCAGTTATTCCTCTGAACGTTATATCGCTGCCAGCATTCGTCCCGACCATTGACGCCAGTCAGACTTAGTTATTAACTGTGTACTTAAAATGGGCTATTCAACGCAAAGCTGCTCAACAAGAGTAGTATAACGTTTGCCGGCACAGCTCATAATAGGGCTATTTGTATGATTAGGTCTGCTAGATAGCGCGCTACTTTGAATCAATCCATCAATCTACCACCGTTATCATATCTTACTCCAGAGTCGTGTAACTTGGTGTTAAAATGCCGATGGATGCTTGAACATCGAATGGTTGCTAAAAGTCAATAGGTGACGCACCCAAGAACTATTACAAATAATGTTTATATAGCACGGCACTTGTTTTGAGTCAAACGCACGCTTGAAATCGCGTCTAATATCATATCTTACGATGCCACGATTTGCCATGTACACTTCCTTGAGCCCTTAGACCAGACTTGCTGAAATGTCCTGATGAGAGCTCCCTCTCTGACCCAGATTCCCACACGGATTGGTTACCATACCTTCCCCTAAGCTGCTCAAGTTATCAGGATGCACCAGTCTAGAAAGTAAGAGTAGGATTTGGACGCAGTCGACTTCAGTAACAGGAGCCCACGGATGACGACTTAACAATGTTTGTAACCCATTTCCTAGTTTCAATCAGTTTCATAAGTAGCATTTGTAATGACAGCAGTATAAGGTGCAAGTACTATATCTACATCTTTCACTATTTTTAATGGATACATACCTAAGTTCTACAATATTTAAGATGGTTGTTAAATGACATAATTAATATGACAAAAGAGAAGCTTAATTACGAATTATTATTTTTTAATTTTTTTTATTATCTATCTTTCGAGAGACTTTAAGCCTTATTAGGGAAATAATTCTGATAATGAGAGATCCATTATTTCCATACTAATGTTTTATTGATATAAAAAATTTATATTTTTTGCTAAGATTTGCTAAGATTTTTTATCGTAAAATATACAAATTTGAAAGGAAGTAACTTCTAACTACACAGATTGCAGGCAGTTAACTGTGATACGCATACGCATGAAGTTATGTTTAAAATGTCTTTTAGATAATAAATTTCTACATAGAAATTCAGTTAACAAAATTATATATACAACAAGCTTCGTCGTTTTATATGAAGCTATTTACACTGGAGTTAATACTAGTGCATTTCTGGCCATATCATGTTATGCAGACAGTCAGTCATATGACGATGTGTTACAGAGAGTCATATCACAATTGTCAATTTCCTACTTTCACTATTATTTTGGTACGTTCTTTTGTGTCCAAATTTAAAAGCTTTTTATTTTTGTGTGATTATGATTAAATATTTAAACCTATTTACTCCTAATAAGCTTAAATTCCAACGTGGCAAAACCCAGAAAACGTCATCAATGTAAACAAGTTTTAATCAAATATCGACTAACAACTCAACAATTTCTCTAATTCTATATTTTTTTATTTACATTTTAAGCAACAACAATTTTATATGGGACGTGACCATAATTATCTGTATAACATGGGCCTAACTGAACTGAGAAACCGTTGTTTGCCCAAAATAAGATAACTGTCAGAATTTCCTGAGCAACATAAACGCAACTGACTTAACATTCGATAACTTCATATATTGACAGTTCTGATAGAAGTGTCGAGCAAAATGGTTGAAAACAAGTCCAGTGACCAAACAGCTTTCGAAATTTACCGTTCTACAACCGTCGGAACCACCTTACAAGAAACACTTGATGAAATGTTGGAGGTATTGTTGTTGTTATTGATTACAACATATTCATTTAGCTTATTTTTATGACAGGGTGGGCAAATAACTCCAAGTTTACGTTCCAAAATTTTGGAACAGTTTGACAAAAGTGCCGCAACCGTTATGGAACAGCAAGTTCTAGACGAACATAAATTCAAGGCCAGAAAACTTGCAAGTTACCGCTTCAGCGATGATGTATGGACGCTAAGATTTAAGGATGTTAATTTTCAAATGCAGGATAAGGAAGTTCAGGCTGATAAAGTTCTAGTCATCGCCTGTAGCGATAATCAAGCCAAGCGTTCCAGATCACGTCGCTTTTCCTTACAATAACCAACACCACAATGACTTATCTCTGCCTTTAATTAATCACATTTTCATTACTACATTACCAAATGCTACTTTTTTGGCATTAAAACATATGCGTTGCTTTTACTTGATTAGCAGATTTTTAGGTTATGTAAATTTAGTTTAGTCTATCAGTTATATCAGTTATCAGTCACTACTATAAATAATTTGACAATCATTGCATTGAATTCCATTGCGCAATAAATGATGCCAATTTGTTTGGTGGCTTGAGAATTCTCTTCGTAGCAGTTTTGATTATAACTTTTGAACTCTACAACACATGGATCTCTGAAAACGTTATATGTTCAAATAAAAACCAACAACTTTTTAGAATCTTCGAATGGCAGACAAAATAAGAGTTTTCACTGTAGTAAAAATCTGAATTGCTGATAATTTTGTCTTCGCTAAGGACTAATAATAATCACCACTTTCCCGTTAACGGGTAGTAGGAGGGAAATAATATACCTCTCGCTGACCAAACAGTCGGAAGAAGATCATTTCCTTAAAAAACCCCCACTCGCAGGCTACCCACTAGATATTCTGAGGTCGAAGGTTGCGGATAGAGTTGCATGCTTAGACACGAGTGTGTAAAAGAGATGGCGGCAGAGGAACCGTAACTGGTCAACGGCGGCGCTCGCATACCTTCAATAGGAGTACTGTCACATAATTTTTCTGTCGGTCTGGAGGCAACAATTGGCAGCCCCAACACCAGAATCGGATGCGGTAGGCCAATCATCTACCAATCTTAAATCAATTATTAATAGTCTTAGTTATTATTAATTTATTACTAAGGACATGGCTTGAATGCCGTTAAAAAATCTTATATACACCTGAGTGTACATTATCATGAACGTAACATGAACTTGAAAACCGGTTACCGATAGATGAGAGAAGGAAGAGAGTATGATTTGAGTTCATGAATTTCACGCAATGAAATTTGTTGCGTTTTTTCAGCTAGACAGGCATACATATGCAATGTTATGGTTATGTTTACCTTTTCATGCTGAATACTTTTAAATTCGTTTACTCCTATCATTGTAAGATATGATGCGAGCGTAGCTTATGATTAAAGGGTTCCTACCTCCTCTTACATACATTTGCAAATTTCATGTTTAAACAATTATACCTTATCACAAAAAGCAATTGCAATATTAAAACAAATATATATTCTAATTAGTAATTTATTAAATTCAAACGAAGGAAAGGTTTTTATCTTGATGCAAGATATACTTTTTAAAACGATGTAAATGTCTAACTGAATTCTGACTACGCACGGTGTTAACATGTCTCCAAAAGAAAATATAGCAAAATATGAAAACAAAGGTAAACAAATATTGCACTCTTTCTCTTCAGCGAAAAATGCATACATTTTATATGAAATTTACAAGTGAAAGCAAAAATAGAGAACAAACACAAACAAGGCGTTCCTCCTGATGGGCCTAATGTTTTTGGAGACAAATTTTTCAAAAGCTCAGTTAAGAAGTCCTCTTCTATTTAGTGTTCTTGTATGTATATATATTAATAAGAAAAATTATGTATACATTAAAAAGTTATACAAAAAAAAACTCACTTAAAAAAATACGTGATCTGGTGCAGGTTCTGATGGTGAAGTGCACACTCTCCTTAAAAAAATAAAATAAACACAGGCAAAGGAAATTGGTCCTACTCGGAGTATTTATGGACGTCGCGGGAAGCTCGTGGTAATGTCCTGAATGTTTATTTTATTCTCGTCATGCTAATTTGTTATTTTTCACACAGGCCTACATATTTCCGTATAAGTAAAAACAGAAATATTTCCCCTTTCCTGAAAGTAAGAGTTCTGTTAGTCCTGTAATTAACTCACACCAATCAGGCTATGCATTTCACTGGCACAAAAGTAAGGTGCTTTCAACGGATTATCTGAACTTTTGCTCATATAATCTGTATCCTTTGTACAATTGTTTCATAATCCTTTAAAGCAGAAGTGTCCCACCATATATTCAGATCTATCTTTGCACTTGTCTACTAAATTTTTTTAAAAAAATTTCTAATATTGAAGGCAAACTTATCACAAAAAGCGTTTAAATTCTTAGGGATTTAAAGAAAATATCTTATTCGTTGATTTTATTTGAGGCTTCCTTGCCATTAGGCATAGATATGCGTGTTAAGGCATTGTTACTGTTGGTTAGTCTGGTGTCAAAATGTTGTACGGTTGGTTCTAGCAACAAAAGCGATAAGCACGAAACGGACATTTGTCAGTTGAAAGCAAATGGCAACTGATTTTTTTTAATGAAACATCAACAAAAAAATATCAAGATTAAGGTGGAGTAAAGGTCAAAAAGTCATTAACAAAAGATTTAAAGGTTGAATTAATGTTGGTTGCATGTTGCAACTGTCAAACCTGAAAACACATCAATTAGGGTTCATCTGTCATCACAAAAATAGCTCATTTCTTTGTGAATTGACACAAAGCGAATAAAACGCTGTTAATGTTACAATCAGATCCATTGAATGCCATTTTTAGTAATTTTATGTAATGGTTTTGTATCAATCTTGATAGAGTCCCTGTTAGCCTTTAATATTCTTTTTTGGATTGTGATGAAGCTACTCTTACTATAACTAGATAAATTGTTACCCAGGTCAATCAACTTTTGTTTGCCTTAAGTAACGAGTTAGACTTACAACAAAACATAATTAAACTATGTGTAATGTAATATTCTGGAATCCTGGAATTATTTGAGATATCCGTCAAATTCCTTCGATTTTATTTACAACCACTATTATCTGTTTAGTAGGTGTCTCCAATCAGTGAAAACATCACAAATTTCTCTCTCAGTTTGACTTTACTTGCAATTAATTACAATTATTGATTTAAGTCAATAAATGTTTTAATAGGTGTCACTCTGCATCAATAATTATAGCATCTCTTGCAATTACTATATTTTCAGATAATTCAGATTCAGATTATATATTTATTTGAAATGTGTAATAAAATATTAGAAATGACGCGTCTATTACCATCTGGTATGTAGTTCCACGATTCTTGTTTCTTGCCCCTTCAGTTCTGCAGTTATGTGTCGGCTACTTTAACTTGATGCTGATGATGATGAATACAGCACAATATTTAATTAAAAATTAGTGATCAAAAATATATTACGGTAATGTGCCAATCTTAAATTTAGGAAAAACTCCAGGCTATTATGGATGTGATCAAATAATCAATTGGGAATTAGGTTTCCATTATATTTTTAATTTTTCTGCGAGTTCAATAGCTGAACTTAATAAAGTTTACGATCCACGCTCCCACTTCAGAGTACTTTCTCTGGTTGCTACTGAATCGATAACTGACAAAATATATTTCAGTGATAAAATATATCATTTGTGTAAAATGAATTTTCGAAAATGAAAAACGAGGAAAATTTAAATAATATTATTTATAATGTGTGTAAAATTATTAATAGTAGAAAGAAAGCAATATTTGAATATCGTAAATGTAGTACAATGCCCCAAAAAAATATACTTGAAATAAGAAAAAAGCAAATAGCAATACTTTGCACAATAATTGCTAGGAACCGGAGGAAGTGCTGGACTTTGGTTAGTGGGGCCAGTAATGATTATTAAAAAAAGTTTAAAATTAACAATTTTTTTCAGAAAAATTTTTTTTTCAGAAAAAAATCTGGGAAGTGGATTGCCAGAAAAATGCTATGTGAATTGTTGAAAGGAGTACAGAAAGAAGATACAACCTTTCACATTTCCATTTCTTAAAAAATAGAATTGCCATTGGGTTGTATTGCCTTGGGCCATCGGCTGAATGTAGAAATGTAGCAAATCTGCTTGGACTGGCAACTCAACCGTTTGCATTTACTTGAAATTATTTTTTCAGGCAGTGTGGAAAATTCTTTCACCCCTGTAACATACATGAATGCATTCCCATTAACAACCGACAAGGTGAATGTCCTTGCATTCCCGACAAGGATTTGAAGTTCTTGATTTTCTGCAATGTTTAGGTGCAATGGGTAAGTTTTCAATTTACTATCACTTAAACACATTTCAGTAAGCAACGTTATGAAGTGGATCTTGCTTCATATTTTTAGCCTTCTGGCTTTAACAACAAAACCTCTTGAAGATGAAGATATTGATTTAGCCGATTTTGATCTGATCATGATCTGAACATGATCATGATCTTAAATACATGACAGTGATTAGTAAGTAATTAATGTATAAGTTTTAAATGGCACTATATAAGAACTCAAATAATGAGAAATGAATTGCCAACAGTTTAGATTATTAAAAGTGCTAAGCATTATATTTATTAACGATTCTTATTATTAAGGCGTACTTACATATATTTACATAGTTGTAACTAACTTTTATTTGCTTCATTTAATTCTCACACTTTTTTACACATAGTAGGGATGTGGGAATACTAGGACTATGTACTATGTACAAGTATTCCATCTCATTATTATCTTTTATTTCTTCTATGTTCTGCATATTGGAACATAGATATGAAGCATGGAAGAGGACATAGTGATCAGCGTATTTCAGAAGAAACAATTTTTATAATGAAATTAAACCAAATATACATTTTTAAATAATATCTTATGCATAATATTGTGTATTCCAGAATAATAATATAAATCTTGAAAATGAAATTGGTAAGAAAATAGCTGCCGACGCACTTGATGTCCAAAATAATGTACTAAATCCAGTTGTAGAAAGCAAGTAAAAATAACTATTGAAAAGAATTAGAAAAGTTAGGTATTAATTAAGCCTTCATAAATTTTATGTAATATGTATAACATTCATTTTATCTTTCTTTTGTTTGAAGCTGATAAGTACAAGCAAAGATAAAACGACAATCCCATTATTTAGGCCTAATGGCCCATTGTGATACTGTTTTGTTTTTTGTATCACAATGGGTTTACAAAGAGGTTTTTCGAACAGTAATGAACTACAACAAAACAAATTTCATTTTTTTATATTATTTTAATTAATTAAATTTTTGGCTGACCATACAGCTGTTTCGAGTATTGCCAAATACCCATCATCAGTGGTCTTGGAAATAATTCTTGTATTTAATTATTCGTAAATAATGATTTTTGAGACTGCAAGTACCAGGCATCGAACTCGGGTCCTGCCAAATGTGAAGCTCAGAATCAGC